ATAAAAACACAGCTAATGCAGGAGCAGGGCCGTAACCCATAGCAACCAGCACCGCGCCATCTGGAGCTGTGTGCTGGGAGTGGGGCAACACAGACAGTTCTCACTTCATATGACTCCATGGTATTATAATACTGTGATATTATTATTATATTACTGAGTCTTTCTTTTCTTATACATTGCCCTATAATAACATTTTATTGACATTCTTTGTGTTGTATTTACTGATAATATATATACCTAAACTCTTCTACATTGCTGTCACCGGATATTATGACATAGAGCGTGTCACCGACTGGTCTCTATACATTGCTGTCATGGAAGGGGTGACACATTCTGCACCACGTGACACACTGTCATTTCCCGTCGCGCCGTTCAGGGCCACGCCCCCTGTCAGTTCCCTCATGAATATTAAGAGAGCCGGCCCCACCCCGTCACGCGCCGCTGTCGGGGACGTCACGCTCTCCATACTTGGTGATGGCTGGGAGGCCGCTCGCTGATTGGTGTAAGGTCCGGAGTGCTGGGCGGAGCCGCTGACCCGGAAGTTCACTCCTAGGTCCTGAGGAAGTGGAGGCGCCGCCGGGCCTGCGAGACCCAACCGACACCGAACCGGAGAGGAGCCGGCCTCACCCACCGCAGCCATGGTAACCCGACCGGGGCAGGGGAGGTATACCCGCTGGTGACGTCACCCTGCGGGCTCCGGGACGGTGCGGGGAAGGGGGCTCTTAGTAGGGTAGATAGGGGCCCCTGTTGCTTCATGTGCTGGCATGTCAGTCACACCCGATACTCTCATATCCTGTGTATAAAAGCCCATAACACCCCGATTCCTCCATATAACACCCCACTTCCTGTATATGGCACTTTAGTCACCCCTTTTCCTCCAAAACAACTTCCCACTTCCTGTATATTATACCTGATATGTCCCATTACCCCCATATATCACCCCACTTCCTGTATATTATACCTGATATGTCCCATTACCCCCATATATCACGCCATTATTGTATATTATACCCTGTACACCCCATTTCCTACAAAATAACACCCCATTACCTCTATATTATACCCCATGCACCCCACTACCTCTATATAACACCCCATTATTTTATGTTTTATCCTATACACCCAATTCCCTCCATAGAACACCCTGTTACTGTATATTACACCCGATAACCCCCATTTCCTCCATGTAACACCCTACTACCTGTGTGTTTACCACACTTCCTGTATATTATACCTGATACACCCCACTACCCCCATATAACACCCCACTTCCTGTATATTATACCTTATGCACCCCACTACCCCCATATAACACCCCACTTCCTGTATATTATACCTGATACACCCCACTACCCCCATATAACACCCCACTTCCTGTATATTATACCTGATACACCCCACTACCCCCATATAACACCCCACTTCCTGTATATTATACCTGATACACCCCACTACCCCCATATAACACCCCACTTCCTGTATATTATACCTGATACACCCCACTACCCCCATATAACACCCCACTTCCTGTATATTATACCTGATACACCCCACTACCCCCATATAACACCCCACTTCCTGTATATTATACCTGATACACCCCACTACCCCCATATAACACCCCACTTCCTGTATATTATACCTGATACACCCCACTACCCCCATATAACACCCCACTTCCTGTATATTATACCTGATACACCCCACTACCCCCATATAACACCCCACTTCCTGTATATTATACCTGATACACCCCACTACCCCCATATAACACCCCACTTCCTGTATATTATACCTGATACACCCCACTACCCCCATATAACACCCCACTTCCTGTATATTATACCTGATACACCCCACTACCCCCATATAACACCCCACTTCCTGTATATTATACCTGATACACCCCACTACCCCCATATAACACCCCACTTCCTGTATATTATACCTGATACACCCCACTACCCCCATATAACACCCCACTTCCTGTATATTATACCTGATACACCCCACTACCCCCATATAACACCCCACTTCCTGTATATTATACCTGATACACCCCACTACCCCCATATAACACCCCACTTCCTGTATATTATACCTGATACACCCCACTACCCCCATATAACACCCCACTTCCTGTATATTATACCTGATACACCCCACTACCCCCATATAACACCCCACTTCCTGTATATTATACCTGATACACCCCACTACCCCCATATAACACCCCACTTCCTGTATATTATACCTGATACACCCCACTACCCCCATATAACACCCCACTTCCTGTATATTATACCTGATACACCCCACTACCCCCATATAACACCCCACTTCCTGTATATTATACCTGATACACCCCACTACCCCCATATAACACCCCACTTCCTGTATATTATACCTTATGCACCCCACTACCCCCATATAACACCCCACTTCCTGTATATTATACCT